ACTAAAAGTATGGATTGTCCCTGGTGGCAGGGCTGCAGAGACACATAGCCTAAATTTCAATTATAATTGTACAGCCAATGAAGTCTAGTTTGTGTTTTAGAATGATGGACTTTTTTGTCTCTGAAGTTTTGTAATATGCAAAGAAGTTCTTCCAAGCAAAGTCTTTATTTTAAACAAGTCAAATGCCTGGTCTGAAGTTTCTGAAAGGGATAAAGAGGGATATTTACTAAAACTGCAGCACACAGAATCTGAATGTATAGTAACCAATCAGCTTCAGGTTCTTATAGTCCAAGCTTAACTGAACAAGCTAAAGTTAGAAGGTGATTGGTAACTATGCACAGCTGCACCAGATTCTGTGTGTGCTTCAGTTTTAATACATCTCCCAAGTGGCGTCCCGAGGCAGGTGCGGTCCGCACCGGGTGACACCGACCACACGGGGTGACACCGGACCCACTCCACGAAAAGGTAAGCTGTAAAGATCCAATCCATCCTGCAGGGATCGTCGGCTTTCTTTACAACTTACCTTTTCTTGGAGCGGATCCAGTGTCACCCCATATAGGTTGCATGACGACGACTGATCCTGCAGGGATCCTCGGCATGCAACCTATACGAGGTAGATATGTCCCCCCTGAAGCAACTGCGCATGTCCCAGTTTCAGGACATGCGCAGTTGCTTCAGGGGGGACATATCTAAATGGGAGACACATCTTGCCGCTACACCGGACCTGCTCCAAGAAAAGGTGAGTTGTAAAGAAAGTCGACGATCCCCGCAGGATGGATTGGATCTGCAGATTGAGCATAATGGATCTAAGTCCGATCCATTATGCTCAATCCGCAGATCCGATCCATTCTGCGGGGATTGTCGGAGGGCTTGTGACCAAGTGTTACCGCACCGGGTGACACCAACCCTAGGGACGCCTCTGCATCTCCCCAAAGCATAATATAAGGGGTGCATTTATAGTGTATCCTATTGAATAGGGAGTGAAGTTATATCTAACCTTCTGGGTTGAAGGAGAGAAATCTAATGCTGGAGGAAATGTGTCAGAATAACCAGTGAGGTTATGCGTGTGTTCAGAGGACTCATCTGCAGCCTTTATGGTTGAGCTGTGTGTAAAAAAATATGCAGAAAGAATAGCAGCTAGTCTTGGGAAGTGAATGACACATAGTGAAGATGTGGCATAAAAGTGTATGTTCAATGTTTCTTTCTCAAAATGGAACCATTGGCTGGGAAAAGAGAGCTGAACAGTGCAGGCGGGGTTTCACCTTCTGTCGGTGTCTAAAATGGGCGATAATGTCTCTGATGTCTGGCCCCAATAAATTATCTGCCCAGAATGTGTGCTGACTTAGTGGTGTGCTTGTGACCTGTGACTTTGTGAGATGCAGCCAAGCTGTATACAGTTTTAATACTGAAAAAGTACTGAAAAGTACTGAAAAGTACTGAAAAAGTAAAAAAGTGGGTTGAAAAGTGCAATACACCCAGATTATTGTCCATATGATGATATGCAGAGTTTTGCTAACATGTTCCAGTCCAATATCAGTCAAGATATAAAGTACTGTGCAAAAGTATGTATATTTTGATTGTTTATTTTTATCAATTTACAAAATGCAAAGTGAAAGATCAGAAGAAAAAACTAAATCATATCAATATTTGGTGTGACTACCCTTCGGCTTCAAACCAGCATTAATTCTTACATTTGCACACTTTATACACTTGCAAAAAGTCAGGGATTTTGTAGGATTAGAGTCAGTGCCTACCAGTGCCCATCAGTGCCACATATCAGTTCCCATCTGAGCTGCCTTTCAGTGTCAACTATCAATGCTAGCCAGTGCCACCTATCAGTGCCAGTCAGTGCTGCCAACCAGTGCCACATATCAGTGCCAGTCAGTGCCGCCTATCAGTGCCGCCTATTAGTGCCCGTCAGTGCATGCTAACAGTTCCAGTCAGTACCACCTATCAGTGCCAGTCAGTGCTGCCTATCAGTGCCACCTATCAGTGCCATATATGAGTGCTGTCTTTCAGTGCCTATCAATGATGCCTATCAATGCCCATCAGTGCCACCTATCAGTGCCACCTATCAGTGCCCATCACTGCAGCCTCATTAACGCACATCACTGAAGGAGAAAAATTACTTATTTACAAAATTTTATAACAGAAACTAAGAAAAAAAAAATTTTTTTCTCAAAATTTTCAGCTGTTTTTGGTTTGTTTAGAAAAAAATAAACCCAGAGGTGATTAACCATTAGCCGCCCGGCCAATGGCCATTTGGCGGCTTCAAAAGTGTCTCTGCACTCCGGGTGCACTCCATGTGGCGTGCTCCCGCACATGCGCAGTTTGCGCTAATGCAGAGCAGCGCAGCAGTGCGATCTGTCACCGGCCGTGCACCTCGGACACGGCCGATGACAGATCCGAGTACCGACTCCCGTTGCTGGTACCATGTGACCTGCTGTGACCAATCACAGTAGGTCACATGACAGTTGTATACAATGGATGGCTTCATTCATGATGCCATCCATTGTATACTAGTGCCTAGCTGTGAATGGTCACAGCTAATCACATGCACATGTCATGTGATTAGCTGTGACCAAATCACAGCTAAGCACAAAAAAAAAAAAAAAAAAAAAAGCTGAATGAATCGATTTCATTCAGGTAAATGCTTGCTTATAGCAAAGTAATTCTTTACTATAAGCAAATTGTGTAAAAAAAAAAAAAAAAAAAAAAAATACTGATCACTTCCCCAAAGTAGTACAATGTTACTATGGTAACATTGTACTACTTTGGTCATAGTAAATATGAAAAAAAAAAAAAAAAAAATGTAATAAAAAATTAAATATATAAAAAAAATAAAAAAATATATATATTTTTTTTTTTTTCATACTGTCACCAGTCAGTGTCCCTGTTCACCGCCATGCCAGTTATATGATGATGCTGTACTGCACTGGTGACAGTATGTAAAAAAAAAAATAGTGAAAATAATTTTTTTAATTTTTTCATTTTCCGAAAAATTATGACAAAAAAATACAACTTCAAAAAACTCGCCATGCCTTTTATGAAGTACCTCAGACTGTCTACTCTGCAAAAAGGGGTCATTTGGGGATATCTGTACTATTCTGACATTCTTGGACCTCAAGAAATTAGATTGGCTGTCAGTACTTCAGGATTGATCAATATTCAGATCTATACCATAGTTTGTGAACTCTATATCTTTCCTACAAACTAAAAAATACATCCTAATTTGGGTTATTTTCACCAAAGACATGTAGCAGAATACATCTCGGCCTAAATTTATGAAGAACAATTATTTATTTGTAAACTTTTATAACAGAAACAAAGAAAAATGTGGTTTTTTTTTCAAAATTTTTGGTCTTTTTTTGTTAATTTAGTAAAAAATAAAAACCCCAGCGGTGATTAAATACCACCAAAAGAAAGCTCTAGTTGTGTGAAGAAAATGATAAAATTTTAGTTTGGGTACAGTGTTGTATGACCGCGCAATTGTCATTCAAAGTGTGAGAGCGCTGAAACCTGAAAAATGGCAGGAAGGTGTACAATTGCACGGTATTGAAACGGTTAAATACCACCAAAAGAAAGCTCTATCTGTCTCAAAAAAAATTATAACAATTTCATATGGGTACAGTGCTGCATGACTGCGCAATTGTCATTCAAAGTGTGAGAGCACTGAAAGCTGAAAATTGGCCTGGGCAGGAAGGGGGTGAAAGTGTCCTGTAGGAAAGTGGTTAATTTAAAATGTAGGTTGAAACACAGTCACTAACTGAAACAGAAACGACTGAGAGAAGAACAGGCAAACTGCTATTAAGGTGAGGTTGTGTCATGTCACAGGTCATACACCATGACAAGACAGAGCAAAGTCAAAGATTTCAAAGCAGACTGAGGTTTCAAAGAAACGGACAACATTGAAGATCTTAGATGCAGTGACTGGCCAAGGAAACTTACTGCAGCAGATGAAAGACACATCATGCTTACTTCCCTTTGACATCGGAAGATGTCTAGCAGTGCCATCAGCACAGAAGTGGTGGATAGCAGTGGGACCCAGGTACATTGATCTATTTTCTGGAGAAGTCTGGCTAGAATTGGTCTTCATGGAAGAATTGCAGCAAAAAGCCATATCTCTGAAGCTAAGCAACTCACCTATGCACGAAAACATGGGAACTGGGGTGCAGAAAAATGCCAGTAGGTGTTCTGGACTGATGAGTCTAAATTTAAAATATTTGGCAGTAGCAGGAGGCAGTTTGTTTGCCGAAGAGCTGGAGAGCAGTACAATAACGACTGTCTGCAGGCAACAGTAGTGGAGGTTCCTTGCAAGTTTGGGGCTGCATGTCTGCAAATGGAGTTAGAGATTTGGTCAGGAACAATGGTGTCCTGAATGCTGACAAATAGAGGCTGATACTTATCCATCATGCCATACCATCAGGGAGGCATGTGATTGACCTCAACTTTATTCTGCAGGAGGATTAGGGTTGCTACCTGTAAGGATTCAACCTATGTCTGTAGCCCTTTAATGTTCTCGGACATTTCCAGCCTCTGAGCTCAGGAGAAATAAAGCTCCAGACATCGAAGGTTGCAAGCTAAATCTCTGAAAGTTTAATGCATACTAGCGGTTTTTGCAAAGTCAGAATAACCAACGAAATATTGTAATGATCAATGAAATATTGTAGTTTACCAAGAAAGATAACGACTACAAATGACTGAACACCACCATATAAGGAAGTTCAGTTTCTACAGAATAGAAACTGAATTCATGAAACAAAGAGTTGTTACAAATGACATGTAAAAACGAAACTAAATTGTTCACACATCTAAAATGGAGGCATTATAGAAAATGGATGCCAGCTAATAAGAGACATTTTTCCTTACACTACCTATTAAAGTGGAGTTCCACTCACACTGTCAAAAAAATAAAAGTCAACATCTATAAAAACTGTAGCTGCTGACTTTTAAAAAAAACAGCCACTTCCCTGTTCCTCGGTCCCGTGGTGTGTCCCCCACAGCCCGTTTCACCAGCCGTCCTGTATTCCAGGAGGCCGTTATCTTCAGTGTGGTTACCTGGCTGTAACAGCTTGCAGCTTCACAGCCGGGTGCCCACTGCGCATGCGCGAGTAGCTCTGCGCTTCATGAATGGTCCTGTAGTCTTCTGGGACCTGTCACATGTCCCAAAAGACTACAGGGTATGAGGGAGGACACCTTCCACTTCCAATCGCCTAGGTCGGGTGTCGGCAACCCGCGGCTCCGGAGCCGCATGCGGCTCTTTTTCACCTTTCCTGCGGCTCCGGAGCACACTGCCCACCAGGTGACAGGCAATAGGGTCGGCAAGCCGCGGCTCTTTTAATGTAGATCTTCTGTGTGCCGGGCGCCCGCTGGCAAACATTGGCTGTCAGGATGTAGGCGGGGCAGCCCGGATGTAGGCGGGGCAGCGTGACGAACTCCTCTCCTCTCACAGTCCGCCCTGAAGACCAGAACGGCGCGGGAACCCAGCGAGAGGAACGCGCGGAGCAAAGGTAAGTGAATTCACACAATATGGGGAATGAATTACTATGGGGGATGAATTACTATAGGGGGGATGAATTACTATAGGGGGGATGAATTACTATGGGGGATGAATTACTACGGGGGATGAATTACTATAGGGGGGATGAATTACTATATGGGGGATGAATTACTATAGGGGGGATGAATTACTATGGGGGATGAATTACTATATGAGGGATGAATTACTATATGGGGGATGAATTACTATGGGGGATGAATTACTATAGGGGGGATGAATTACTATATGGGGGATGAATTACTATAGGGGGGATGAATTACTATAGGGGGGATGAATTACTATATGGGGGATGAATTACTATAGGGGGGATGAATTACTATAGGGGGGATGAATTACTATATGGGGGATGAATTACTATAGGGGGGATGAATTACTATAGGGGGGATGAATTACTACGGGGGATGAATTACTACGGGGGATGAATTACTATATGGGGGATGAATTACTATAGGGGGGATGAATTACTATAGGGGGGATGAATTACTATGGGGGATGAATTACTATATGGGGGATGAATTACTATGGGGGATGAATTACTATGGGGGATGAATTACTATATGAGGGATGAATTACTATATGGGGGATGAATTACTATGGGGGATGAATTACTATATGGGGGATGTATTTTCAGTTTTAAAAATGTTTCTCTCAAAATAAATTTCAATCGTGGTTTTGGCGAGATTTGGCTCAGTCGAAAAAAAAGGTTGCCCACCACTGACCTAAGGCTATGATTGTGATTATGACGATACACTGTGGCCCTGATCAACCCTTTGCTTACTGGGCCCTTAAACCCCCTTCATGACCAGAGCGTTTTTGCAATATATGCAGTGTCGGATTTGTTTTAAATGTTGCAATGGTTTTGCGGCTCCCAGTCTTTTTTTCCCTCTCGGAAATGGGTCCAAGTGGCTCTTTATGTCTTAAAGGTTGCAGACCCCTGGCCTAGGTGATCGGACCAGAAGTGGGAGCGGGTACCTGTCAAATTCGGGTACCTGCCTCCCAAAGGTGCCAATCCTTAATGGGGAGCAGGGGAGCAGTCCTTAAAGTGGAACGTCCCCTTTTGGGTGGAGCTACGCTTTAAGGATTCACCCACACAGTCATTCTTCAAAGAGCATTTGACAGGTGATGAGGCGGTATATTACCTCCTCACCACCTGCTTTAACACCAAACTAGCACACCACAATCGTGTGCTTTGCACACGGTTGCAGGGCACTTGCAGAGCAGTGCTATTCACTTGAATAAGACTTGTTTGACAGGGGTATGTTTTCTGCCATGGCTGTGAAGCATTTGTGCACCCCTAGTCTCTGCTTCTGTTGCTAAAGGGGGTAGTGGTTGGTGGGTGGTTAAAGCACAGTTCAACCATGGGGTTTTGCTGCCCCCCCCCATCGTCACATGTGAATGAGTCCTAAGGACTTATTCACACAGTTACTCTGGCTGTGTGAACGAATGGATTGTTTAAGTGGCTGGAGCTGTAATGGCAACTTCCATTCCAGGTAAAACTCCAGACACGAACTTGAGAAAAACAGCCGATTTATTTACCTGCGCTGTTTGACTTACCAAGGACTCGTGCCTGCAAGCTAAGTGCCTTGAAAACCATCTTACAGAGTATACATATCAGCAATTATATCACAATGCATATATTTCCTCTTTCACTTTCTGTACATTTAAAAGACTTTCTAAGCAGTGCAGGATATGGCCTTGCTAGATAAACTATCTTCAGCTGAAAATAAGGGTGCCAGTTACAGACTGGAACACATTATTCCACATGAAATAAGGGAGGGGGGAAGTGAGCTGATGACCTTGCTTTGCAAACAGATGCTGTTAGAAATGTTAAAGCTTAAGGGGAACTCTACAATATTTGGGTGCTGCCACAGAGTCACCTGTTACTCTAAGGGGGCACAGTGGTTGTACAAACACAGCTGCAGGTCCTAATTTGCAGGTGCTGGTGAATGGCCCTGAATATACACTGCCTGTATTCGGGGCTGTACACTTGCACCCACACACCTGTTTGCTAATAGTTCCGGGACATGTCTAGGAGTTTGTTGTGAACGGACTATTTTTGTATCATTGTTTAGCAGCTGTATATAGCCTTGTAAATAGCACCAGTAAACACACCACTGTGTGTCACTACATCACTGGACTGGTATCTGTGCCTGAAAGAGCTGCTCACCCCAGGGAGCATTATACCTGCTACCTATCCCCGGAGCACACCTGTCACTTATTTATTTCTTCCATTCATCAAATGGCTTGAATGTCAGCAGGGTCATTTATTATACCAAGTCAGTGAAGCTGCCTATCACACTAAACGACCAATAGAAAAGTTTAGGAGGCAGGAGGGGCAAGGACAAGCTCATTTTATATAGCTTAACTTGAGATGTGCATAATCCTTCAGCTGTCTATATCATTAATGATCGTTTTGACAAGTATTTTTCTCTGCCTATGCATTTTGCATCATTTGCCCAGCTTGAACTGCCCAGGTTTAAACACTTAATTTAAGACTGGATCAACAACTTTGCTCATTAACACCATGTCATTTATGTATTTCTGCCCTAACATTATTTAATTCTCCCAGCCACTTGTGATTTTTTTTTTAAGGCCATGGGAGTGAAGTGAACTGTATATAATCTATAGACAGTATGTTATGAAACTGTATAATCCATTGTTGTTTTCTTAACCACTTCAAGTCCGGCCACTTTCACCCCCTTCCAGTCCAGGCCAATTTTCAGCTTTCAGTGCTATCACACTTTGAATGACAATTGCGCTGTCATGCAACACTGTACCCATATGAATTTTGTAGCATTTTTTGAGACAGATAAAACTTTATTTTAGTGGTATTTATTCACCACTGGGATTTTTTTTTTTTTTGCTATATAAATGAAAAAGTCCAAACCTTATGAAAAAAAGTGTGCTATCTTTTTAGTAAAATTAGTTTATAACCAAAAATTATAATTTTTCAAATTTGTTTTTACATTTTTATGTTTTTTTTTTATATTATTATTTATTTTATTTTTTTTTTACTGTCACCCTAGCACTACAGTGTCACCATAGTGACACTGTACTACTTGTGGGGGGTGATGAAGATTTTTTTTTTTTTTTACACTGATTGCTTTTACACACATAAAGGCTGTAAAAGCAATACTTTCTCCTTCTCTCTGGCTGCAGTCTTGCAGCCATTGAGAAATACAGTGAGAGCTGTGATTGGTCACAGCTTGTCACATGGTACAAGGCTGTTGTGAATAGCATTGTACCATGTGACCTCTGTGATCATTCACAGATTTCACTAGTAGTAAGCAATGATGTCAGAAGTGACATCTTGCTTACTACTATTCATGTGATCACTGATTGGCCAATCAGTGATCACATGATCGGGATCTCACACAGAGGGCACAGTGGGCTCCGGATTGTGGTGCGCGTGCTCCCAGGAAGCGCGCACAGGCAGGGAATGCGGGTGGATATTTATAAACAGCCACCCGCTCCTGCACTACTCCCATCTGGCCGTTTATGTACATGGGCTGGATGGGAAGTGGTTAAAATACTTCAAAATACTATAAATAATTTCCAAAACAACAAAAAAAATTACAAAATGACTTCCAATAAATGATATCACTAAAGTAACATTTTTTTTGAATCCATAGAATGCTGTTACAGATATCAGCTAAATACTTGTCTATGGTTTACAATCTAGGTATTATGTTAATGTTGCATTAAAAACCACAGTTAGAATAAAGGGTAACCACAAAAGTCATAAATGTGGGCAGACAACCAATAAGAAGGTGAAAGTTTAGCAAAACTTTCTCATTGTCTTTGTCAAAGACAACAAGAAAGGTGTTAAGTACAGGAAGGGAGAGAGCAGAAGTGATCATGCCATTGTACGGACAGATCAATTCCCATAAACAATGAGTTTAGAACACAGATGTATTTATAGAGAGAGCAACAAAAAAGTTTAATCTCTAACATATAACGTATAATCTCTAAGTATAGATATCACTTGATAGAGTAGTTGTGTAATACTCAGGGGTGGACTGACAATTCATGGGGCCCCCCGGCAATAGGGGATCATGGGGCCCCTGTGTCCTTGCCCAAACTCAAAAAAGCCTATGAAAAAGGTACCAGGGGCATCTCAAGGGGCCCCCTACTGACCCCGGGCCCTCGGGCAGTGCCCGAGTTTCCAAATGGTCAGTCCGCCACCGGTAATACTACAACCTTAGTAATCTGTATAACAACCTCAAGTTATATTATTAAGCCCCAGCTTTGGGCAGCGTGTAAAAGCTTTCTAATGTTATTCAGTAAACACAGTAACTGTGATAATGTCAGAGGGATCCACTTGATTTACCTAATCTTGGCTTGATTTTACTTGCTACAGCACACATGTAGCCAGTGGTGTAGTTAGGTTTTGTGCTGCCCTAGGCAACACAAAAACTGGCGGCCACCCCACTCCCCCGCAGAGAGAGTTTGACACTGACCAACACCCCCCTTCACCCATGGAGAGAGACTGACATTGACCAACAACACTCCTGTCCCCTGCAGGAGCAAATTGGATCATGCTTTGCAGGGTTTTTTGCCTTCTTCTGGATGAACTGTGGGTATAGGATTATAATTTTTTTTTTATGGTTGAACTCAATGGAATTTAGTCTTTTTTCAACCAAACTAACTATGTAATTTTGTAACAGTGCAGCTTGGCCCCACCCCCTGCTCCATCCTAACTGGCTGTGATTCACTTCCACTGCTACGTCTGAGCCAATGAAGAAGGAGAGAGCCGAGAGAGCCTTTTCTCTCGGCAAATCGAAGGATCAAGATCAGGCTCAGTTAAGTATAAGAGGGGTCCTGGGTGAGAGGAGAGTGGAGCAATAAAGGAATTACACCTACCCTGGATTAAAAGGGAAAGCGCTGTTTGACCTAAATATCTGGAGGTCAAAATAAGGAGGTGAGAGTACATATGTGTGTCGGTGAAGGAGAAACACAGAAGGGTGTTTTTGCACATGGCAGGAACGTGCACGAATATTTACAAGAATTGAGCAACCTTATTTAGAAGATTTGATATATTTATTATACAGTATAAGGATTTTCTCTGTTATATGGGATCTTTGTGTCACAAATTGTTTATGTACGCACTGTGATGTTTATATGCACTTTATAAGAAGTTACTATATATGGGTAATTGCACAGACACTTTATTTTGAAGATTGCACGTATGGTATAAATTGTATTAATTATATTGTGCGGCACTGATGTGGAAACACATTTAGTGTCAGCAGCAATAACATATTGGAGGTGGGAGATTGTGAATTGTGCTGAAGTTACTTTGAAAACGTTTTTGAAGTAAATTTTCTCCTTCACTGATGTGCGCTAATGAGGCTGCAGTGATGGGCACTGATAGGCTGAACTGATGGGCACAGATAGGCAGCACTTATGAGGAGGCACTGGTAGGTTGCACTGATGGGCATTGACAAGCATCACTTGTGGGCATTGACAGACATCACTAATGGGCATTGATTGGAACTGTTAGGTGGTACTGACAGGCACTGATAGGTGGCACTGACTGGCACTGATAGGCGGCACTGACTGGCACTGATAGGCGGGACTGACTGGCACTAATAGGCGGCACTGAAAGGCAGCTCTGATGGGCACTGATATGTGGCATTGATTTGCACGGATGGGCACTGGTATGTGGCATTGATGGGCACTGACAGGTGGCAATGATGGGGCTACATTGATCATCAATGCCATGATGATCAGTGTAGATGTCCCCTCTGAGGAATGCCGATAACCGGCTCTCCTCTCCTCAAGTGCTGTCAACGTGAGGAGAGGACTGCCAATAACCAGCATTTCCTTGTTTACATGCAATCAGCTATGATTGGACACAGCTGATCACATGATAGAGCCTGTCATGGCTCTTTACTCTGATCAGTGATCTGCTGTGCCCCAGGGACACAGCGCACCACCGATCGCCGCACGCCCCTGGCCCCATCATTGGTGTCAGTGTGGGAGGAATAGTGCCCCATCATTGATGTCAGTGTGGGTTGGGAATAGTGCCCCATCATTGGTGTCAGTGGGGGGGAATAGTGCCCCATCGTTGGTGTCAGTGGGGGGGGGATAGTGCCCCATCGTTGGTGTCAGTGGGGGGAGGAATAGTGCCCCATCCTTGGTGTTAGTGGGGGGAGGAATAGTTCCCCATCGTTGGTGTCAGTGGGGGGAGGAATAGTGCCCCATCGTTGGTGTCACTGGGGGGAAGAATAGTGCCCCATCGTTGGTGTCAGTGGGGGGAGGAATAGTCCCCCGTCGTTGGTGTCAGTGGGGAGGAAATAGTGCCCCATCATTGGTGTCAGTAGGAGGAATAGTGCCCCATCATTGGTATTAGTGACACCAATGATGGGGCACTATTCCTCCCACTGACACTAATGATACTTACCTTGCTGACCCCTGCTCCAGCCTGGGCTCGCTCCCTCCTCTCCCATCTACAGCCAGCATACCTGGCTGCAGCAGCACCATCTGCATGGTACAGACACTTACCGGTCAGTTGTCTTCCTTCTCCAGCCGCTCTCCTCTTCACTCGCTACGGCAGCTCCCTCACTCGATCTTCTTTGATCTTAGCACTGCCGCTCGGCTCCTCCTCCTCCAAGCTCCACCTCCTCGCTGGTGATTGGCCACCTGTGTGCCTCTCCTGAGCTACAGTTCCGGCGGCCAATCACTGGCGAGGAAGCGGAGCTGTTGAGTGATCCTGGGGGTGTGGCCAGATGACAGGAGCAACATGTCATCCTGCCCACACATCGCGGTCCAGGGAAATGTGGGCGTATCTGCATGTGGGCGGACCCACCTGGAGACGGATAGAGGACCATCGGAAATATGTGTTTTCTGGTGGTCTAAGACGACCCCTGTGAATGGGTTGTTCGACCCCCAAAGGGGTCGCAACCTACAGCTTTCATAGACCATAGAGCAGTGATGGCGAACCTTTTTGAGCCCGAGTGCCCAAACTGCAACCCAAAACCAACTTATTTCTTTCAAAGTGCCAACACTGCAATGAAACCTGAATATCGAGCTTTTGGTTTAGAAAAAACAACTCGTACAGTAGTGCAAACTAATTAACAGTACAGGGATGACCAGAGACTGCGGACACAGTACAGGGATGACCAGAGACTGCGGACACAGTACAGGGATGACCAGAGACTGCGGACACAGTACAGGGATGACCAGAGACTGCGGACAGTACAGGGGATGACCAGAGACTGCGGACAGTACAGGGATGACCAGAGACTGCGGACACAGTACAGGGATGACCAGAGACTGCGGACAGTACAGGGATGACCAGAGACTGCGGACACAGTACAGGGATGACCAGAGACTGCGGACACAGTACAGGGATGACCAGAGACTGCGGACACAGTACAGGGATGACCAGAGACTGCGGACACAGTACAGGAGATGACCAGAGACTGCGGGACAGTACAGGGATGACCAGAGACTGCGGACAGTACAGGGATGACCAGAGACTGCGGACACAGTACAGGGATGACCAGAGACTGCGGACACAGTACAGGGATGACCAGAGACTGCGGACAGTACAGGGATGACCAGAGACTGCGGACACAGTACAGGGATGACCAGAGACTGCGGACACAGTACAGGAGATGACCAGAGACTGCGGACAGTACAGGGATGACCAGAGACTGCGGACACAGTACAGGAGATGACCAGAGACTGCGGACACAGTACAGGGATGACCAGAGACTGCGGACACAGTACAGGGATGACCAGAGACTGCGGACAGTACAGGGATGACCAGAGACTGCGGACAGTACAGGAGATGACCAGAGACTGCGGACACAGTACAGGAGATGACCAGAGACTGCGGACACAGTACAGGAGATGGCCAGAGACTGCGGACACAGTACAGGAGATGACCAGAGACTGCGAACAGTACAGGAGATGACCAGAGACTGCGGACAGTACAGGGATGACCAGAGACTGCGGACAGTACAGGGATGACCAGAGACTGCGGACACAGTACAGGGATGACCAGAGACTGCAGACACAGTACAGGGATGACCAGAGACTGCAGACACAGTACAGGGATGACCAGAGACTGCAGACACAGTACAGGGATGACCAGAGACTGCAGACACAGTACAGGGATGACCAGAGACTGCGGACAGTACAGGGATGACCAGAGACTGCGGACACAGTACAGGGATGACCAGAGACTGCGGACACAGTACAGGAGATGACCAGAGACTGCGGACAGTACAGGGATGACCAGACACTGCGGACACAGTACAGGAGATGACCAGAGACTGCGGACACATTACAGGGATGACCAGAGACTGCGGACACAGTACAGGGATGACCAGAGACTGCGGACACAGT